ATATATGGAGGAAATAATTGGAAATGACCATGTCTATTTTCGAAGTTACTTTTGACTGTCTTTTTAATTAAAAAAATCGAAAATTAAATTTAAAATTCAAAATCCCAAAATATCCCGCTATCCTCATTTCATTTGCTCAACAGTCGCACAAAAGTGAAAAAAAAAATGGTCGATTTTCAGTCGATCGGAGAACTTGCTAGTTCATCGCCGACGAACTACTTCTTGTTAAGGTAACCGTTATTATAATGAATATTTGCTTAGATTAATGTTTAGATATTGATAAAAGATGTGAATGATTCATTTGTAAGAGTTTTTTTCAATATATTATTGTTTATATAGGTAATGGTCTCGTTTGATACCCATTTTTTTCAAAATACATTTTTCTCTCTCTTCTTTTCAACCACACATTCTTTATTAAAATAATATTACACGTAAATCAAAAACTTTTCATTATTTTTCAACCATACATTTCTCATCAATTTACTATTCAAAAATACATTTTTACATAAAAATATCTCCCAAACACCCCCAATATAGGGTTTAGATAGTGTTTTTGTGGTTGGTTTTGTAAATTTGAAAGCTTTTCTCGTCGGAAATGGAGATTTTCCGACGAGAACAGTGCATTTGCCTGTATTTTTTGTGGAAAATTATTGTTATAACAGTCTACTGTAACAGTCGGTCCATACCGACTGTTCAGCCGACTCAATTTAGTGGCCCGACTGTTGGCCCACTCCTCTTTTTTAAAATTTTTCAGCCCAATTTTTTTTTACATATATTTAATAATTTGATTTTAAATAATATTTATTATCAGTTTTTAATAAATAATAAATTATTTACCTGTCGAATTTAAATAAAATTTTTACATTTAATTTTTGTTTTAATATTTTTATTTCCTCATTTTTTATAAATAATAATTTTTTTGTTCATCGAATTGAAATAATTATTTTAATTGTGAACTTAAATTTAATATTTATTTTTATTATTAGTTTTTGATAAATAATAATTTATTTAGTAGTCGAATTTAAATAAATTTTTTACTTTTAATTTTATTAATAATTTTAGATGATATTATTTTCGTTCATCAGATTGAATTAATTTTATAATTGTAATTGGAAATAATTGTTGAAAATTTAATTTGAAATTTAATATTTATTTTTATTATTAGTTTTTGATAAATAATAATTTATTTAGTCGTCAAATTTAAATACATTTTTTACTTTTAATTTTATTAATAGTTTTGGATGATATTCTTTTCGTTCATCAAATTTAATTAATTTTTTAATTATAATTTGAAATAATTGTTGAAAATTTAATATTTATTTTTATTATTAGTTTTTGATAAATAATAATTTATTTAATCGTCAAATTTAAATAAATTTTGTACTTTTAATTTTATTAATAGTTTTGGATGATATTCTTTTCGTTCATCAAATTTAATTAATTTTTTAATTGTAATTTGAATAATTGTTGAAAATTTAATTTGAAATTTAATATTTATTTTTATTATTAGTTTTTGATAAATAATATTCTTTTTGTTCATCGAATTTAAATATTTTTTGAACTTCAATTGATTAAAAAAATATTGATAATTGGGAAAAATTGACATTATTGATAGTATGATACAAAAATTTACATTATGGATAATTTTAATGATTATGAATTTGCGTCTTGCGTATTGTAGTTACAATTTCGTTCGCTAAATTTCCTGTTATTATGCTTTATTCTATTATCACTTGTACAATGTTGTAACATTTTGAATTTTTATAGGATGGATTATCACCTTGACACAAAGTTGAGACAGATGCCAGGCAAAACTATGTGGAATAGTAGTTTTGACAGTTTCACTGCTGTGTTAGAGCTGCTCGATAATCATCATGCTAATATGCTGCGCCAATGCTTCTTGTGACCCTTGTACCTGTTGAGAGATTTGCAGTAGTCGGGTCAGATTATTGACGCACTTCTATATCGATTGCTGAGTCCAATCAACGGCGATACCCTCCACTTCGTAGTCGGGGGTCAAATCGCTAGTTTTTAGATGTTCGAGTTTGTTCTGATCACGAGATTAAAGATTACGGACGATGAAGCAGTTGGTGATGGGACTCAGAGAAGAAATAAGCTGCATGACGCTTACTTCGAGGGACAGGGAACTGTGCTTCTTACACAGCTGTTTGATGCAATTAGGAGGTATGATCAGATGTTAGACAGACTGAAGTTAAGTCTAGTCTACATCCTTGAGAGCGTGGTGTGGTGTCACCACAAGAAAACTGTAATCGACCTCTTCCATCTGGAGATCGTTGATGACATCGATCGTTTCAACAACTATCCGCGGGCCAGAGATGTTTCGAGGACACCGTACACATCTTCACGAGATCGCACTCGAAGTCGAAGGGAGTCATACGCAAGTACGACACCTATGGATTGCCCCTGGCAGTACAGGTAAATGGTTAACATAATGAATGTTAAAATTATCTTCCTATTGAATTTGTATATAATAATTCTATGTGTTGCAGATCTGGGCGTATGAGACCGTCCCCCTATTGGGTGCCCGCTTTGCTAGGCGAGAGGAGACACGCTGCCCTCGAATGCACCAGTGGAGAGCATCTCAATCGGAGGGATGTTCCACTAAGAAACAGTTATCGGCTATCCTCGACGACCCTCAGGTGAGTATTATGCATTTGTAATTTATAGTGTACGTGGTTTAACATCTGATTATATGATCGTTAATTAGTTCAAATGTCAATATGTCAGCTTGAAGTCATAACTGAGTTGACGCCGTCGATGGAGGAGGAGGCTTACGGTCTTGTACGTGAATTAGGCGTTTCGCACACCCAAGACGACCAGATGTCCGATCTGATCCACGACCGAGATTGGGTGAGCGAATTGAATAAAATCTATTGATTACCATTTTTTATGAGTTAGCAATTACGGATGAAAATAATAATTTGTAATGTTGTTGCTTGTGTAGGAGCGTGATCCAATTGATCGACGATCACCTCCGCCGAGACCATCACCACCTGGGTCGAAGACATCACCACCTCTACCGTCGAGGGCATCTCCTCCGCCGTCGAGGGCATATCCTCCGCCTCCCCCGTCCAGAAACCTTTCCTGTGGATCTCCCGCACATAGACATGAGTGCTATTTTGATAATCTGTATGCCCATCTGAGCAGATTTATAGCGGAGCAGGTCGAATGGCTACGTCGAGAGATGATAGAGAGGGTTGACGTTCTGGGACGATAGTTTGTAGGAAGGGTCGAAGATTTGTCGAATGAGATAGTAGCACTTCGAGGTGATATAGATGGTAAGCGGTGGGTTGACGGAGATGGTGATCGGAGGGGTGATCGAGAGGGTGATAGAGATGGGGGTCTCTGACAATCGTACATGCATGATGATGATACATGAGAATCATTTATTTTATCTGAGGAGGGCGATGGGACGGGAACGGTGACAAAGGAGGGGGCCCGTCGAGAAGGGAGACAGTGGCCCCTTCAGGGACGAAGGCAGTGGAGGAGGTGGCCTTCGGGGACGGAGACGATGACAGATGAAGGAGTGGCCCTGTCGGGGACGGAGACGGTCGTAGATGAGGAGATGGAGGAGGTGGCGAGCCTAGGGGTGGAGGAAGTGACAGTGTATAAGGGAAAAAAGGGTGTTGTTGACATGCTAGAGACGATGGTCGGCAAGAGGCTGAGAGTGCCGTTATTGTACGTTGTCTCTCCCTTCACGGCTGAGGCGAAGAGGAGGAAGTTCGTCGATGGGACGTACCCCAATTTGTTCCAGAAGGTTGAGTGGCGAAGAATGTTGCCCGGATAAGTATTGTACAATTTAGTAGACTACCAGAACTTGTATATACTTCGTTTAACTTCTTTTTTTCCAAAGCCACGCACATGATAGCCAGAAGGACGATATTGGACGCATACAAGTGGTTCCCATTATATCACCACTCAGGGGGCTTGGCTCGCCGACGATGTAAGTGAAGTGTTATTGTTACTTTTTGTAGATATTATGTTTAAGTTGTTAAATGAAATAAGTATTTATTTCTTTGTTTTCCTTGATGTAGTATATCGACATGCCTATGGACTTGTTGCGCGATCGAGTTGAGAGATATCCATAATCATTCCACAAGCCTGCCGAATAATACTAAACACCGAGTTCTTTCGTGCCGTTACCATTGAGTATCAGTCGCTCCAGCTTCTAGGTAACGAGTACGTGCTTCCCGCATATATGTTCGAGTGGGTCATCGGGCTGTCACCGAGTGTTGGGGAAAGTCATGGGAGGGTTGTACACATTTGTATATTCCAATGATCATGAATCAGCACTACATTGCACTGGAGATCGTGTTCCCTGATTCGACGATATATGTGTACGACCCCGATCATTCATGTCTGATACAGGGATAGCTCGAGCAGAACTTAGAGCCGGTGACTGTGATCATTCCTCTGATGGCTAGACATGCGCACTTGACTGTGGAGGATAAACTAGCCATCGTGCGGGACATGACGACAGCGAGACAGTCTATATCGTAAGTATTTGTAATCTTTTTTTTTTAATTTAGTAATTAGTTCGTACGTAATTGGAACCAAAGTAACACATATTTATTCATTTGCAGGGGTGACTGTAGAATTTTTGCAACCAAATACACATAATTTTTTTGTATAGCACATAAGGTTGATGGAATCAACCAGTCATGGATACAGAATTGGCGAAATAAGTTAGCGTATGATTTATACGAATTTAATTGTGATCCATAAATTATTTGTAAATATTTGTTGTCGATATAAAATTTGTAATTATTTTTATGATTATTTGTAACTATTTTTCGCAATTGTTTGTAATTATTCATGTAAATACTGTTTATTTCAATGTAAATATGAGCTGAAATCTGAATATTGATTATGCCGATGTAAATAATGTTTATTTTAATATAAATACGAGCTGAAATCTGAATATTGATAATGCGAATGTAAATACTATTTATTTCAGATCGACAACAACACACAATACTCTAACTGTCATTTAGAGAAACCTGACTTGTACAAAATTGGTGAGTATGTCCTACTGATTTGCACCTGCTACACCTATGCGGTCGACGAAATTCTTTAGTAGATGGTATTTTAAAAGTACTTGGACGTCCAAGATCACGTGGTTCAATGAGAGGTGGCGACAATGTATTGAATGGGCGAATATGATCGGCAACTTCCCACTCGGCTTCGTTTGGAAACTGAAATATGGTTTCAACATACGCAGCTCTCCAATTTTCAGCAATGTAATAAGGATAGTATAATGTTCTCGCTGTAAATCCTCGATACATAGCCACCGTAACTGCATGCTCACATGGAAAACTCTCAAACTGAAATTATTTACAAGTATATGTTCCACTAGTCAAATCTACCATGTATGTCGTATGATGTGCACATTCTACAAAGAAGCGCGACTCGTCTAGTGATTTGACATTTAACTTTCTCCTTGCTTCTGCAGCCTTGAAGAGCTTTACCTCTTTCGCCGGGGCTAGCATGCTTGTACAATTATGTGATTCCGCAAGTCGATCGTTAAACCACTGCTGCAATTTCGCACGGATAATCTCAATCAGTGTGAGAATTGGCAACTCTCGATCCCTCTTGAATAATGCATTAGAGACTCCGCGTTGTTTGACGTCATCATGTTGTATGGACGTCCTGAAAAATATGAGCGCGCCCAATGTTCAATCCCCATTTTTCGTTAGATAGTCCTATGTTGGAAATGATTTGCTTCATATTTCAACTATGTACCTATTATACTCTTCAATACTGTAAGCTTCAGTCACTCTCCTAATCAGTGAAACGATACTTTTGCCCCGATACCTGATCTTCAAGTTGCCTTGTATATGGTACATGCAATACCTATGTTATGCATCGGGAAAAACTTCAGCAATACCATTTATTATAGACTGTCCTTGATCGGTTACAAATGCAAGGTCCTCGACTTCCCCGATTACTTCCCTGAGCTTTGTGAAGAACCAATGCATCGACAGATCATTCTCGTTATCAACTCTGCCGAATGAAAAAGGGTAAATTTGGATGTTGACATCTTGACATGTAGCAATAATCAACTTGCCTTGGTATTTGGATTTCAGAGTTGTACTGTCGACTAGAATTAGGGGTCACATAGCATTTCGAAATCCCCGAATGTATTGTCCAAGAGCCATAAAGAAGAATTTGAAGCAGTTCTCGACCTCCATCTCAATAAAAAATGCCGAGCTAGGATTAGTTTTCTCCATATTATGGCAATACCTGGCCAATTTAGCATAGCTTTCCTCTGTCGAGCCCATTAAATTCTCCAACGCGCATTCCTTGGACTTCCAGGCCTTCTGGTAGCTCATGAATACTCCGTACTCTCAACAAACATTGTTAATGATGTCCGATGGTCTGTAAATTGTCTGTAGATCCTGATACTTGTGTATTATCTGTCGACTAATAAACCAAGTTCGGGCTTGCCTGTGATCATTGCGACAAACTCTCACTTCACAAGTATGTTCCCATGTATATTTACGAATTACAAAGCACTCATTCGTGGACATATTTGTCGCTCGCAAACGCCAACTGCAACTGTCATCTACGTATGATAGCGTCAACAATGACTTATTCGATTTTTTTCACTCTAAACTCGAAATTGTATTTCAGTGCAATTAGGTGTACGACTTCTTGCAAATCTTTCTTCGTTTCAAACAGTTGCTCGACATACAAATCCTCATTATTGGGAACCACACGTGAGGAGTTAGAGGACGGTCTACTCGTTCTAGCCCCCGAGGTCCCACCCCACTCATGTCTTTGCCGAGATAAAGCAATCAACTCCTTGTTCGTAAAAGTATTTGCATTTTTATTCTCGTTGTCACAAGCTGCGGAGGGGATTCTGTGTGCTACTGTCTTTGGAATAACCACATCATCTTCATGAGCTATCTTCACCGTATCCCAAAAATCATTAGCATTGTGATCCCCACCTCTCGAGTCTACTTGTTCATATTCGACGACATCCTTCCTTACTAAAGTCACGCAAAAAGGAGTTATGTGCTTATTGTTCAATTCAATTTGATAGTTCACTTCATCAACAGAAGAAACCCTTATAGGTGGAATCAGAACTGATGCACGCTCGCTGAATTTAAATTTCAATTCCATGTTGTACTGAGAAGGATCAACATTAACTTGTTCTGTAAATCATTATGAAGTTCTGCATACGATGTACCTGATGATATGAAAATTGCGATACTACCACGTTTAGCACTTGTTCATTTCCATGCCCATTGATCTCTTTCATCCAATTCGAAATCACCAAAGTAACAAATTGGGACTTATAACTATATCTGCATGTCGAAACAGAATTTATAATTACAAGAAAAATATCAAGAGCAAAAAAAAAACCCAAAAAAGGGGAAAAAAGAAAACAGTCAAACAAACAACTAGCCAAACAGTCCGTTAAACAGTCGGTTGTTTGACCGGCTGTTTGGGTTTAACAGCCGGTTAAACAGCCGAATCACCGGCATGTGATGGGCTATTAACACTTAACACCCTTCTGACAATATATACAGTTGAATTTTTTCTGGTCAAATGCTTAAAAAATTACAGATTTATGAATTTTTTTTTATCTATATTACCATTACATGTCGAAATATAATTTATAGATTTAAACGCACAATAATTTAACGAAAATAAGACTAAATTTGCATATATAAATTTACCGAACCGACGAGATTGATGTCCACAAATTTTTCGGCTTTCGATTTCGATTAATTTTTTAGTTTCTACGGTTGAAGCAAATGAAAGATAAAAGTGTTTTATTTATCTGTGTTGGAGTAAATAGATAACAATAGTAGGAAGTGTTTGGTTTTTATTTGTTAAGTAAAAGAGTATTGATGTCTTTTAAAAAAATCAATTTTTGTAATTGTATAATATATTTAAGGGTATTTTTGTCTTTTAACATTGGATAGACCATTTTTATAATATCCCTTTGTTGAGAAGTTAATGTGGTATTTAGATGATTTGATTAAATCAACTTTAAAAGTACCCCTTTATGAGAAAACAAAATTATTTTAGGAATATTTGCATGTTGAGGTACCCCAACATTCCCGATAATATCTCTCGAGTCCCTGTTTATTTATTGTTTTCAAACGGAGTCCCTATCTATCTTTTGTTTTTCTTGAGATCCTCATACACTCAATTTAGCATCAAATAGATCTTTTGGAAGAAAATCATTAATCATCCAAAATTCCATTAACAAGTCATGTGCATATGACCAGTCGAAGCAAGGGCATTCTTGTCAATCATTGTAATTTTTTAAGAATGATTAAGGATAAAAAAAAAAGTGAAAATCAAGGAATTCTCGATTTCGCGTTTATAAAAAATGATTAAGGATAAAAAAAGTGAAAATCGAGGAATTCTCGATTTTGCAATAAACGCAAATGAGAATGGCCAGAGAGGAGAGAGGGCAACAATGGTGCAAACAAAAATCAAGGCTGTGGTTTGATGAGGAAGAAGAGCCATTTTTCCTTTTTATTTCATTTCATTTCATTATTTTTAAAGGGTAATTGGCGCGATACCCCTAACTTTTGTATGTTTTGCTAAATATCCTTTAACATTTCATTTTGGCGCAAAATTCTCCTATATGAATACCATATGCCGTCTATATCCATTAGTTTAGACAGTAAAAACTATTAAAAGATGGTGAAGATGAGAAAACAAGAAATTAAATAACAATGGCGGTAAAGCTTCAATCTTCAACTTCAAATAGCACAAATCCCTATTTTACCCGTTAAATTTAGATCAAATGCCAAAAATTCATATTATCAATGAACTCCAAGTAGCTAAATTATCGAAAGCTTTAGAACGGATAAAAAATTCAAGCAGTTACAGAATCATCAATGAAATACATGCCCATTCCGTCACTCTCGGCGTGTTCAATACCCACCAGAACTTAGCCTGCCGACTACTCAACACATATGCACTATTGAAGAAACCGAAAGATGCCCAGAAAATTTTCGATCAAATTCCGAATCCAGACATAGTATCATGGACCTCTCTTCAGAATCTTTACCTCAATATCCGTCAGCCCATGAAAGCATTGTTGCTGTTTTCGAAGTTAACTGCGTCGGATTTTGTAAAACCAGATTCTCATTCCATCGTTGCTGCTCTTTCTGCTTGTGCGCGTTGTAAAGACCTTGTAAATGGGAAGTCAATTCATGGAATGGTTCATAAATATCTTGAGAGACCTAGGCCCGTTGTGCATAATGCTCTGATTGATATGTATTGTAAAAATAGAAGGATTCGCTTGGCTCAAAGTGTATTTGATAGAGTGCATTTTAAGGATGTTGCTATTTGGACTAGCTTGATAAATGGGCATATTTTGGATGGTGATATATATTCTGCTAGGAAATTGTTTGATGAAATGCCGCAGAGAAATGTGGTTACTTGGACAGCAATGATTGTGGGGTACGTGCGGATGAAGAGTCCAATTAAGGCAATGCAGTTATTCCAGAGGATGAGAATGGAAGATATTGGACAAGATTGTTCTCCTACTACAGTCACTGTAGTTGCCTTGCTCTCGGGTTGTGCTGATATCGGGGCACTTGATTTTGGAAGTTTAGTTCATGGTTATGTTCATAAAAGAGTTGGATTTGTTGTGGATGTTGCCGTGAATAATGGGTTAATTGATATGTACGCAAAGAGTGGATATCTTAATTCAGCTTTGAAGATATTTGACGGCATGAAGAACAGGGATTTATTTTCATGGACTAGTATGATTTCTGGTTTGGCGCTACATGGTAGAGGAAAGTATTCTCTTCAGGTTTTTGATGAAATGGTGGATTCTGGGATGATCCCAAATGACGTTACTTTTCTGTCAGTCTTATCTGCTTGCTCCCATTCAGGATTGGTTACTGAGGGAGAGAGATTATTCAAGATATTTGTAAATAACTACAATTTGAAGCCCAAGATTGAGCATTATGGATGTATGGTGGATATTCTTTGTCGAGCAGGGCGGTTAAAAGAAGCCATAGAGTTGATTGAGGGAATGCCCATGAAACCAGATGCTGTTATCTGGAGATCACTTCTTAGTTCTTCTTTGGTACATAGGGATTCAGATTTAGCTGAATTGGCAGGAAAGAAAGTACTTGAATTAGAACCTAATGATGATGCTGTGTATGTACTCCTATGTAGTGCATTTCGTTCAGTGAATAGGTGGGAAGATGTTTTAAGGACAGTGAAGACGATGAGAGATCAAAGAATCAAGAAAACACCTGGGTGTAGTTGGATTGAAGTGAATGGCATTGTTCATGAATTCGTTGCTGAAGCCTCCCCACTCCATATCAGTGATGATGTACTGATGGTTCTGAATGGAGCGATTAATCACTCAAAATTGGATACTAATCTCATTTTAATTGGACGAACATGAGGTCACGGAGATTGATGAGGTTCATCATGGATTATGGCATCAAAATAGCCAAAATCAAGCAATCTAATTAACGAAGCAAATATGGTTAGCTAACAGGTTCAATAGGCACCAGATTTTCATAATAAAATTACTGTTTTGATATCTTCTACTGTTCATGCATTTTCTTGTTTTTGCTGGGTATTCATTTGCTTTGCTTCTAGATGTCAAAGGAGAAAAATCCAAATCAGTGTCTAGTCTTGTACGAAAACCTTTTTCCATTAACAAATTTGACACAGCATTAAATTCAGCTGGTCACCCTTGGAGATCACAAGTTCAATGTCTCACAAATGTCTTGATAATGTTTCTTTCTCATTTGAGTTCAAATTACTTGAAACTGTGAAAGATAATTTGATGTCACAGAAAACTTGTACACATGTGAACTTTAATTTTTTTCAAAGATGAAATTATTGCAAGTTCCTAACTGGTCCAGTACTATGCCTTCATTATGCTAATGAAATAAATTGTTTTTTAGTGATTGACACTGGCTAACAATGTGCAGCTGAAGAAAAAAGTGAGAACACCCACAACCTGATTGGTGGTCAGCCATGATTGTTGAACACGAGATTTACAGGTGCAACTGTGCAAGGCATATGATTGAGCTTATTTAACGATTAGCTTCAATACAGTTTGTCGACGTTATACAATTATAGTTACTTCTTCTACCTATTGGCGTATTTGTGCATTAATAATTGATGCATAACTTGTAACACATTCTATGGAATGGTTTGAACTTTGAATTGAAACCCTCAGCTTCCATCAACCTCACAAGTGAAACAACGGGAAAATATTAGCAATTCTTGGGTATGAAAATAATCCAAGATTGGAAAAATTCCATAGAACCGGGTTTTTCACCATATTTTCTCAAAGCTTGGCTACTAGGTTGTGGCAAATGGACTTCTTCCATTGTGATTGAGTACTTGATCATAGGAGTGCAACAAAATGCAAAATTAGGAGTATGGAATTGCAAGTGGATTCAACCGCAAGGGTCTGGGTAATTGTTTAAAGTAAGTTTTTATGACCCGAAACTGTTTTTAAACACGCTGCATAATCTTACATTTCTGATGTACCCTACACGTCACACTTCTACGTACGCTTAAGACACATGAAGTGGGAAGTTGCACATCAGTTGTCTTCAGGGATTTAAAACAGTAGGAGATATTTTCTTTTCAAGATAAAAAATTGATCGGATTATGCCACTTTGCCAAAAGGATTTTGACAAATGCAATGAAGCAAGTGTAGGTTGCAGTGGATGATTGGCTAAAAAAGTTGAGTGATCTAAACAGTCCAATAATAGAACAGCATGCGGCATTATGCCAACCTTTCTGTCAATCTAGTTAGCATTGTATCATGATTGAAATTAATCACAGAATTCCTTCTGACAACTAGGTGACAAGATTGTATTTTGGCACTTTGCACTGCCCTCGCGAGATAGACAGACATGGAGGGACCATTTCTATTCAATCAATCAATGTTGGGTGGGTGGGTGAGTGGGTAGGCGGATGGATGTGTCTTGCACTTAGCAATACACTACATAAGTGATGAGGTCCACCTGAGGATAATGTTAGGCAAGCCCCCATCTATCTATGTTTTGACTTTAACTCTTTCTATTTTCAATTCATAGCTCAATAGTATTTGTGACTACATACTGAAGTAGTATAAATATGTATGTGTGCCTCTATATATTATTCAATTCGAGAGTCTCCTCCATTGATACTATGACTTTGTTGCATTAACATGGAGAAGAAGAAGGCTCTTCTTTGGCTGTTCCTATTCTTCTCAGCTTTCTTATTTCGTCTCTCGTTGTCATCTTCAAGTGAGCTCCAACATTTCATAATCTTCTTATGATATACCATTAACTTACTTGTATAGATAATTTTGTACAAGTAGGTTGATAGATGCATGTGTGGCATACAAATGTCCATTGATTTGAATTTCAAATATTCAAATTAAGGGATGCATCAGCCAAACTATCTATACATAAATTTCTATACATGTAGCAGAGTCTATGATATATATGCATATATGATCTTTTTATAGATATTACTCTTAAATCTTAAAGCAGGAAGCCTCAGTTCAATCACTGATCAGGCTCAATATTCGTCCAGCCGAGATTTACACGACAATTTTCAGGTTCTTCCCTTCATTCATATTCTTTTCCCTTTCCCTTTCCCTTTTCTTATTCTTATTGTTATTATTATTATTATTATTATTATTATTATTATTATTATTATTATTATTATTATTGGATTTTCTGTTTAGTTTGGTAATTTAAATGTGGAGTAGGTTGCATTGGGGAATAGAGAGGATAAAGAATTATTTAGAGAAGGAAGAATGGCTATTGAAACCAGAGACTATTCAGGCACTGGTGCCAATAATCGCCATGATCCAAGGCCTCCTGGAAGCTCTTGATTCATGAATAACGCTATTTATTATATATTTGTACAAATAAAAATGTGGAAGGATTAATGGAATAATGCCTCTAGTTTTTCAGTTGCACTATTAATTGGAATATTGGTGGAATCCTAAATAATTAGGATATTGAAATTTATTTTAATTACTAAAGTTTCTTTCAAATTAAAAACATTGTTTTCTATTTCTTTCATTCATTTTTTCCCTCTTCCAATGATGGAATAATTAAATTGACAAGGCTTATATATGGTATGACAAAAAAGAAAGAAAATAATATAATCAAAAGAATCTCGTGAATTTATTGATCACCCATAATTGTGTCATGCCTGTTTATTTATTTATTTATTTTTATTTTAAATCGAACTGAGATTATAATCTCCGCCAAAATAGATACATGAATAAAAGATGGATGTTTTTCAACACAAATCTTATCTCGGAAATTTTTTATTTATTTCATTAGTTTAATTTATGTTAAGTATTTTACATGATTTCTAAATAAAATATTAAATAAAAATCAAAATTGAGGAACTAGAATAATAAAACAAGATTATGTTATTTATACATTTTCATCCTATAACATGAATGGTATTCTTTTAACGTCGGACAAAATAAAACTCCTTAACGCGGGGTGGGACCCCTACCCTGTCCCCTTCTCGTAGGTCTAATTAAGTGTGAAATCTTTGTCCTCGTTTCGACTCATAATGAATTTCTCGTCCCTTTAATATCCGTATGTTGAATAAAATGACAATCTAATGAATGAAAATAATAAGCAATGTATAAGAACTTGATATACTAAGTTGCTTGATTATGGATCCTTTTAAATCAATCTCTTATAAGTTAATTATTATTTTTATAAAGGACAAAAAAAAAAAAAAACTCAACATAAATTTTTAATTCAATTTGTAACAATAAAGACAAAAATGTAAAAATTGAGCGTTTTTCACTGGGTCAATGATTGGCAGAGGCATCTTGATTTTTTTACATCTCGATGGATATTAAATTCAAATTTTACACTAACGAAAATATATAAATCTACTTTTTGTCTCTTGTAAATGTAGAAAAAAAATGCAAATTTACATAATTTTTTATATAATAAAGAGATGCATTTAAATCACATTTTAGATATATTTTAAACCACGATTGAAGATGTTCTAACAGACGGTTGGAGCATTTTTTCCTTCCAAGTGACAAAGCCATTTGGAAAGGTGCAGGTTGGCATTTAAAATTTTAAAATATATATTAAATATTAATTTCTTGTAATAAAATATGTAACACATGCAATAATATTTATATCCACAATACAAATCACTAGAAAAGTAGGCACACTCAAGATTTATACTTGTAGAATATTTGATACGTAGATTAGACGGTGCCAGACAAGATTAAAGAAAGGAAAAGAACAATCAAAGTGTTCATAAAACTCTTCTAATATACATATCATACTACAAATTTCTGATTACAAACATAATATACAAAAACTACAACCTCAAACTATTATTACGACATAAGGAAAGTCTTTTTTTGCAAGTTCTTGTTTTCTGAGATTCCTAAAAGCAACAGTGAAAAATATTTTTGCTGTCTTGAAGGAAAATTTTTAAATGCATCTATTGGGACAAAGAAATGGCCTTCTGTATATTCATAAAGGCTTTTTCATACCTTACAAGTCCCATGAACCAAAATTCAAAATCGTCTTTTGTCACTATTTCTATGTACTTCTGTGCTGGATTGTCGATATTCTCACTTTCGTTTGCTCTTTTTATCTTTTTCACTGGGACAGAAACCTGCAGAAATGGAATTCCAAAGAAAATATGCATATTAAGACTGTTAACAAGGCAGTTTAATTAGATAGACATGCATTCATGAGATAGTAATCAAGAACTTTATGGTTAATTGCAATGATATATTGGAATGGATTAGGTTTTTTTTTCCTGCATTATCTCGAAGCGACATCGGAAGTTAGGAGACCTTGAAACAAAGAAATTGTTGAGTTTTTGTTTCTTTCTAATCCCAACACACTTGATGTTAAGAAAAAGAATTTTTGCCAAACCCTCGAGAGTTCAACAGATTAGTTCAACGTTCACCGAAAGTTTTGCTTGATAAACACAAAGTGCATCTTTTGGCGAACTAAACTATACAACAGACAAGATTTCAACTTTTCTTTCTAATTCAATTCTTTCGCATACTATCTCATTCTTGCAACAAAATGGCATAATCAGAAGAATAATGCTACTTGTACATAATAGAGTTACAAAATAATTTACATACAGATGAGGTGTCAAAAAGAGAGTGGAGAATGTTTTATTTTTTATTTTTTTTATTTTTTTTCGGTTGAAGAAATTCTGATCCAATCATATCTCACCACATCATATGTATATAAACTATTATGTAAATCATCATGTATAAGTAACACAATCGTAATCAGAACCATTAATTAGGGGTTGGAAAATTTACCTTGTACAGAGTCCTGAAAAAGGTTCCAGCAGACAAGTGAAGAGTAATGGATCTTTCACTGCAAAATGCAATTTTTTCTGTGGAAATGAAAAGAATTCCAGCAATTGGACCAGCTGTGGTTGATAAATAGCACTGAGATGCCTTCAACAGCTTCTCTCCCTCATCAACACCAAATATTTCTCTAAATATATTTTCTCTGCCTCCTTTCTTTATTATTCTGGCCCCTACACTCAGCTTCCCCTTTACTGTTTCAGAAAATTTAGGCCCCATTCTAACTGCAAATTCACATCAACAAACTGTAATTAATTCATCATATTTATCCAGATCAAGAATCTTATGCATATATATGAATATGAATAGATGCAAAACTGTTAGGAATCGTTCAATAAAGTTGGCTGCACACTGTAAAGGGATAAATTTACATTGGTTAATTATAAAAATACGAAGCAACATATAATAGTTTGGAACCTCTTAAAAATGTTGGCCTTTCAAGATGAAAAACAAGTCTTAATCACGGTATTAGGTCCCATAATGCTCAAAAGAGCAATTCGATTTGTTTAGAAGCTCAAACAAGCGATCGAAGTCTAAGATTGACATTCGTGTATGAGTTACCATCTTGTGGTGACATATTAAAAGTAAAATAAATTCTGCATTGGTTAAATGTAAAATCATTAACCAGTGTATAAAAGCTTGGTTACTTTTCCTAACAAAGTTGACTTTTGAGATGAAATTCCAAATCTTAGTATGTAATGAGAGTCCATAATGCTCAAATAAGCAATTCTATTGGCTTTTATCGGATTTCAATATTGGTGTTGTCAAGTGACTAGGGCCAGTTTTAGCCCAAGGCCACCAAGGTAGTGGCCTTGGGCCTCTGGGTATAATGGGGCCTCAAAAAAATTTTGAAAGCCCAAAAAATAATTATTATGGAATTTTCTCAATTTTCTTTAATTAGATATTTTATGATAGTGCAAATAAAGTAGAGGCCTCCCTGCCAATAATGTTTTTCAATTTATTGCTGCTTTTGAATTTTTATTTTTAAATATAAGTTTTTTTTATAATAAATAGTAGGCACCATCCACATACCTCATTGATTTTCAAAAAAATCTTTATATTGTATTTCTTGAAAACAAAAATTGATTCTCGTACAAATCAAATGATGAGTGAGTACCAAAGGTATACTATTTCTTATCATGAGAAACCGTTTTATTCGAACATGTTTGATGCTAATATGCTAGTAAAAAATTATGTATGGAAACCTCGTGATAATTTATTGCATAGGGCCTAAAATTTTTTAGGACCGGCCCTACAAATGAGCCACTATTTTGCAGGGTAGGTTAAAAGCAAAATCCCATTGGTCTTCATATTACTTGGAAAAATGGCTAAAATCTTGTGTATTTAAGGTGTATTACTGCATACCAAACACAACATTAACGTATTTTACCGTGATCGCGAATTCTGAAAGCTAAACTGTTAGCCTTTCTTTCAAGCTTCTTACGGTGATTCCTCCCAGTACAGAGCTTCCCTAAGTTCCCATCAACTGCATTTCAAAGAAAAAATTTAACTTTCTCAACAAGAAACACACACAAACACACAGTACCTACCAAACTATAAGTTACATACTTGTGAAGAGAGGAGAAGAAGCATCTGAAGAAGAGGGGCTGAAAGGTTCAGGAGAGAATCTTCCATATGAACTACTATCACTACTACTACTCCTCATTAAAGAGCTTTGAGGAAAACTATGATATTCAAACTGAGAACCATCCATTTTTCATAAATTTCTACTAATGATGTACAAAATTATTCTTAAACTGGGTATTTATAGATGTCAATGTATGAAGAAGAACAAGATGAAAAGGAAAGTGGCAAGTGTTCTTGTATTATTGAATGGAATCGAATGGCAGGTGCCCCACACGGGGTTTCATATAGAATCGAATATCAAACATAAAAGACATCTTTTTATTTTTTATTTTTGTGTTTTTCGAAGATTCTTTGCTTCATTAGTTCTTGATAAATATGTAAATTAGAAGGTAATAAAAAATTACTTTATGTATGGCGAACTTTCAGTATAATTCCTAAGTCAAAATAGGGTTGGTTTTGATAAGGTTCCAAAATCGATTAATCCCTGTTAGAGATTAAAAGTTAGATTCTTATTTAAGACAAAGTCAATAATTAATTTTAATCACATATTTTAAAAAATTCACAACTTTTTAATCACAAATTTCAACAATTTTTGTCAATTTTTTTTTTTAATAAATCTATTAAGTGCTAAATTTAATATGCAATCACCAAATTGTTAGTTAACTCTTACTTAGGTATTAAATTGAAAAGCTCGTTCAAACACGAACCGAGCCCATGAGCTCAAGAACCCTTCTTTTTTTTTTTTTTTTTTTTTTTAAATTTTTTTTTACTCTTTTGTTCCCCTTTTTTACGAGCCCACGGTCCTTTTGTTTCCCTTTCTTCCGAGCGAGAGAGTCGGTTCAATTGGCCTAGCGAGTAGGCCTGCTCGGCTTGGGCTCGTCCAAATACAAGTCCGAGCCGCTCTCGGCCGCTCGACTCGATTGCCACCCCTATCGAGAACCATTGAATTGAAAATGATGAAAATTGTTTCATTGGCAACGATAATAACTAGTGTTCCACGTAATCGTTAAGGAACTATCGAAAAGCGAAAAGAAGGATTATGAAAATATCTTTAACTTTTATCTCGAATTTGACACCGTCACACACGTCAATTAAATGGAATATAATTTACTTTATATTCTAGAGAAGATTCTGTAGGAGCATTTAATTTATAAATAATGATACAAATTGATTAATTAATTAAATTTTACGCGGAGAAACATCGCTTTTTCTTCAAGCTTTCGAATTTAATTAATTAATTAACTTTTACGCGGAGGAACATAACTTTTTGTTCACTCTTCCAAGAGTTGCCATCTACACAACTTCATAACACAATGGTAGCCAGCCAATTGTTTAGAAGTGGAACCTTGAGATATTATTCGATAGGGAGGAATATAATTTGGAGCAATGCTAGAGACCGGGTGAAAAACAGGGTAAAAAAAGACTGTACATGTGTCAATGTATGATTGGAGAGTTTGAAAAATTAAAAAGGAAAAAAAGAAAAAAAAAATGTCAACAAGCTGTTGACACCTGTCTGTTTATCATTCTTCTATAATTTGTTGAAGTACAAGCTTTAACATAAATATTTATAAAATTATCTTAGAATGAGAATGTCAATTTTTAAGATTAAGATTTTTTTTTCAAATAATTTATTTTGAATCTCACTGTAAATGATATCGTGGATTTCAAAAACAAATAATGAAAATATTTATATAACTTGATACAACTGCTTAAAAAAAAGTTAGTACCAATCATCAATCGACTTAAATTGTATTCTTATTGGGTTGATATCGGTCCAATAATCTGTTAGTTTAATCTTTTATTGTTTTGAAATGGCACGAAATACGGGGAAAAATCTATTTTTCCTAAGATTACGGTTTGATTGGTCACAATACCGTCTAATAAAAAAAAAAAATTAATACCAATCATCAATCGACTTAAAATGTATTCTTATTGGGTTGATATCGGTCCAATAATTTGTTAGTTTAATCTTTTATCGTTTTGAAATGGTACGAAATATAGGGAAAAAATCTATTTTTCCTAAGATTACGGTTTGATTGGTCACAATACCGTCTAATAAAAATGGAAACGAAAGGTTCGAGCTCCTTAGATTGATTAACACAAGAACCCTTTTTCCATCGCTCTTCTCTTACTCGTGTAGACGTTTATTGTGCATTGACAAAATGAAAGTACCCCTTCTTTTGAAAAAATGATGTGGAATCGTGGATGGATAGCATCTTTGTTGCTCATGTTTACAGAGTAGAAAAGAATTCAACATAACTTTTTCGAATGAACCACGCACCTTTCACATGCGTTTAAAATCCATTGTTGAGAATGGACTAGGAAAATTCCAATTTTATTATTACTATCATAAATTCAAATTATTATTATTATTATAACTATATAGTGAAGAATATTTTAGCATATTTTCCTTCATTTATAGTTTTTGGTACCATCCAATCCGTCCTAGCAAACATGCTAAAAAAGTGTAAATTTCTATTAACCTGAATTTGAGTTCCAATGTATGCTAATGAAAATATTTGTATAACTTGATACAACTGCTAAAGAAAGAAAAGTTAATACCAATCATCAATCGACTTAAAATGCATTCTTATTGGGTTGATATCCGTCCAATAACTTGATAGTTTAATCTTTTATCCCTTTGAAATGGTAAGAAATACGCGCTGGGGGGGGGGGGGGAATCTATTTTTCCTAAGATTATGGTTTGATTGGTCACAATACCGTCTAATAAAAATGAAAACGAAAGGTTCAAGCTCCTTAGATTGATTAACACAAGAACCCTTTTTCCATCACTCTTCGCTTACTCGTGTAGATGTTTTTGGTGCATTGACAAAATGAAAGTACCCCTTCTTTTGAAAAAAATGATGTGGAATCGTGGATGGCTAGCATCTTTATTGCTTATGTTTACAGAGTATAAAATAATTCAATAGAAAATTTTGGAATGAACCACACAGCTTCATATGCATTTAAAATCCACTGTTGAGAATGGACTAGGGAAATTCCAATTTTATTACTAATAAAATAAATTCAAATTATTATTATTATTATTATTATTATTATTACTACTACTACTACTACTACTACTACTACTACTACTACTACTACTACTACTATTCCAAGAAGTATGACCCGTCCCATTCTTTTTTCTTTTTCATTTTATTTTAGGGACTTGTATTAGAATGTTGTGTTTCGTTATACCTAAATTATGTTTATTGCTTCCTTTATGTGTTGTGATAATAAGTAATAACTACTTAATTATATTCCTCGAATTATATCGTCTGCAAAATCCCACATCGATTAAAGATGAAAAAATAGACCAACTTATAAGAGATACAATCCCATATTGATTAAAGATGAAAACATAGACCAATTTACAAGGTCTTGGGCTACTCCTTTTAATAAGGTCGACCTTTTAAAATGAATCTCCAAGTCTTAACATCAATTTTGTCAAATAACAGAAGTACAAACGACAAAAGAATATTAAATAAAGAAATGCAAAAGATAAAAGCACATTAGGGCGCTGCACAAAAAAAAAAAAAAAAAAAAAGGGGGGGGGGGAGAAAAAAGGGGGCAAAAAAAAAAAAAAAAAAAAAAAAAAATGGGGGGGAAGAAGAGAGATATAAGAGTATAATATATAAGGTGTTCTAAAAAGATGCTCTGACCAACCTAGTTACACTGATCGAAACTGGCTCATCAAAGTTCTGACCGAACACTCACAAAGGGGGTGGGGGCCACATTTTTGAATTTTTTTTATTCACATAGGTCCAACGTGCATGTGAGAGGATATCAAAGCATCTGTCATGAATTTTTGGTCAATTTGACATTATTCAACTCTGAAACCTATATTTTATTCATTTTAGAAAGACCATATGTCCATCTTAACGTCATTTCCTTAACATTCATTTTATGGACATTTTGACTTCTAACATTCACCCGATACTATAAAGGATAGTTCGTCTAAGACCTTTTTGTAGAAATTGCCTTAATTTGCTAGTATATTTCCGACCAAACCAAATTACTCAAGACAAGGAACAAGTGTAGTAAAACCATGTTTGATAAGCCAAATTACCAGATCATAAGCCCTAGACTAAGGCCAAGATCTGATTTACAGTGAAAAGCCACTATCCTTGAAGAAAAGAGATTATTCAGATTTTAGTGAAAGAAATAGACAAGAGACCGAGAGAATGAAAAACCAATTGAAAATATCTTTCCCATTCAGGTATCCCGTTCAAGGGTTTAAAAAAAAAAAAAAAAAGTGGATTTAAATTACAGCCGTTGATCTTGATCAATGGTCCAAGTGAGTCACCAACAAACATAGATCCGGGTGGTTGCTCCAAGATACATCAACCTTTTATATTAAAGATGACTTTGGTTTTAAAACAGAAAGTAAAATCTCAAAAATAAGAACACGAGATTTTTCGGCCGTAGCCCCGAGGTTCGATGACCGCTATTAATGTCTAATCCCCGTTGAGCATCCCTAAGGATTTAGCTCGAATCCACTAAGAAAGCCTCTAAATGGGCAAGAATGTTACAGATCTGAATCACAAAGGTTCGAACGCAAATAACCTCTAAAACACTAATTTCTCTCTATACAAATTACTCACAGAGAGTACTCAACACTCAATATATTATAATCTCACAAAGAGATTATTAAAATCATCAAGAAGATAAATTTACAGAGACACTCGAAAATGAAAAGCACGAAGAAGACGAGAGAGGAATGATGAAAACAATATCACTGCCCTAACCCTAGAACGAAGAATCAATTTAAAAGGAAATACGATCAATCGCTGATTCAACAGTCCAGATTTCACCAAGTGTCAGCCATCCATTTAAAACGCACCAATGCACAGAGTATAAAACACGATTTCAATATATTCTAGAAACTTCAATTATTTGGATCAAAAAAGGACCCGGTTTCTTGGGCTGGTAATTTTGGACCATTTAATAAATGGGCTTAAAAATTGTAGCAACCCATTTACAATCTCCACTTTTGCTTCATTTTTAAGACTCTCAATAGTGGACTCAAACTTCACCTCAGCTCATATGCTCAGTTAAACCTGTCAAAAACAAAAACTAGTTAGTTTCAAGATTCAATAACTTCAAAGAATCTTGAAATTTATTCAATGGTATTACCTTTGTGCCTGCATCCACTGGATTCACTT